TGAAGACCTGAGCCGGAAGACAAATCGATCCACAACAATTGGGAAAATAAAAAGGAGGAAAACGAAATATTTTTCAATTAGGCTTCCAAGGTTATAGAGTTTAATCTAGATCAGGCCAACATTCAGTACGTATGGGCGATCTATATGTGTGTATTTGTGTGTGGGTGGAGATAACATAGCTGATCGGAAATGGAGGATTTATATGAGTGCAGACTATTTTGGTTGGAATTTATAGGTCGGCAGTCGGCTGAACAAATTAAAGGAATGACAAGTGTGGAAGTGGATGGTTTGGGTATGATTTCGGCAGATACAAAGAAGGAAAAATGGAAGTCTAATGTAGCTTTAGTGGACTGAAAGGAGAATGACTTCAATCTATTACGTGGGATGGGCAATACATTTACGCACATGGGGCTTTTTAAACATGTATGTGTTAATAACACATCCTATGCGGCTATGCCCACTATTTTTTAGATTTCCTCTTAAAAATTTAGAACTTATGAAAAGGGTGTTTAGAGGGTGTTTGGATTTGATTCTCAAAACAGTTTATGCTCTTTCAGGTGCAGAAGCAAAAGTTAGAGTGTTTGGGTGAAAATACAGAAGTGATTTTGGTACTCTAATTTACTCTTAGAATCGGTTTTTTTATAAACTGACCGGCTTCTAAAATTGATTTTGGTTCTGATTCTGCTTTAAAAAAAGAAGAAGCATAATAACTTCTAAACACCCCTAACTTATGAAATATACGAAGTAGTTATTATGCTCTATAAACTTTGTGAAATATTTTTAATCGGACTTATGGTCCAATTCTCTTAGGTAATAGTTATGTTTCTTAATCATTTTATACAAAATTGTGTGATCAATAAATCTCAAACCCGTTCAATAACATCAAAATTGATTGAACTTTTTGAAATTGGTGACATATTAGTTGAAATGACTGAATTGAGTTAATCTATTAAAATGATTATGTACATTGACCTCAGCATACAATAAAAGTAACTCAAATTATATAATTTAGTGTTCTTAATAAAAAATTAGATGTTTGATAAAAATAAATGAAATATTTGGAGGAAATGAGAAGTGAAATAATGATTAGATACGAAGGACAACATTATACGGAGTATTAGAAAACGAATGAGTTTCATGGAGTTAATTGCTTTAATAAGATAAAATGGCCTCATTTATTTCAATATGACAAAGCTAATTTGATAAAGTAATAATCTCAATAGCACAAGTATTTTCTGTTTAATTTGTTTAAATTCATTTAGAATCCGTTTGGTAACACTTATGTTCGGCTTATCAGGTTTATCAGTCAGCTTTTTATTCTAACACGTAACTTTTGATTTCACGCGCTGAAATGTGTAATAATAAGAAAAAGTAAGGTTGAAAATATTTTGTTGTTGTTTCGCCTTAGGTAACTGTGGGGGGAGGGGCATTTTAACTATTTTCACATATAATTTTTTTCTTCATTTTATTTATAAAATATATTTTAAATTTAATATTTTCATAAATTAGCGTAATCAACCAATACAACCACTTAAGCCAGAACTTCATAAATTTCAACAGAATCAACTGATTCAGCTGGTTTCATTGTTACCAGCTAAATATTGGGAGTAATGAATAATCCCAATATTGGGAGTAATGAATTTTGACCACATTTTTTAATTATACTTTTAAATATAGAAATATTATCTAATCTTCTCATTTAACATTTGAATTGCTTAAAAATATTAATGTACATATGTGCTACAATGACATTCTTTGAGTTATTTCTTTTTCTTTATACTTTTATAAAGTAAATGCATTTCTTAAAAAATATATTCATCCCCTCCTAACCAAGCTGCAACGACCGTCCCCAAAACGGCCCTTACGATACTCAACCATAAAAGAGATTCGATAAACCAAGCAGAAATAAAGATACAAAGCCTCGAGCTGAGACTATTTCTTTTAAACATAATCAAAACTTACAACCATAACGAAAGACATGCAAAAGAAAACACATTTAAAACCGTTACACCTGATCAGGATTTTAAAACGTTTAACAACCCTTTGAAGTACCAACGTACTAAAACAACAATATAACCGATAGCCCGATCTTCTCCGTTAACCCATCCAAAACCTTGTCACCGACTCCATACATTCTCTCAGGCTTCCGTACTTTGCTTATTACCTATACATGAGGACATAGGAGAATAGAATTCTCGTAAGCAATAATGCTTAGTAAGTCACCGTTTTATCCACTAAAACATTTAGGGAATCTTAGCTAATCATAATTAAATAGATACTTGTTGAGGTTTATTCCTTCAACCCTCGGGTCCAACACGTAAGCCCAAGGATTTCGAGTGGAGTGTGTGTGAGTAAACTAGCCCAACAAGCAGATGGTATGGATTAAGGAGAACAAGAAGGTAGCAAGTAAGTGATTAGGTATTATTATCCCTTAATAACTCCCCAATACAATACTTTTCGCTAAGGCTCCGTCGGCCGTTCGTCTTACAAGGCAGTAGAAGTGCTGCGAGTAAGAATGCTATAGCTAGTGCTAAGAATAGAAAGTTGCCAACCCCTTACAATGAAATAAATGCTTCTATTTATACCCGCCAATGGCAGGTGGCTATGCTGACGTGGAGGCCTGCGGACCGCTTGTGTCCCAACCACCAAATCTTCTGCATTAAATGCACTTCCCGCCAGAATCTAGGCTTCCCGCCTAAATAATGGGGACGTTCGTCCGCCAGGGGGTGAGCTGGGTCACTCCAAGTGACCCTCAAGGGACTTCGGCTGTTCGTCCCCTGTCCTTGTGGATTCCCTCCATGTGGGCTGGATCTCTTCCGACGATCATGGGCCTTCCCAGGAGACGTTCGTCGTACCCCTGATGGCCAGTGGTCCTGCCCCTTGCCTCTGCACAGACGTCCGTCGCGATGGGCCGTTGAACCTGGACCCCCCCATTCCCGACGTTCGTCTCTTCCCAAGGGTCATGGGCCTGCGCCCAGCCTGGTCCTAGTCATGACGTGCGTCCGATAGAAAAAGGGGGTTAATGGGCCGGGCCTCGGCCTGGGCCATTATCCCAACACAAGTCCCCCTTTTTCTATTATCCCGGCCTATTACTGTTCAGGAGCCCAAGACATTATCCAGTACGGAGCCCGAGCAGCTAGGCCCATTTCGGCCCATTAGGCCCGATATTGGCCCGTTTGGCCCATTAGGGTGGAGAGCACCCTTTCCCCTTTGTCTATAAATAGGGAGCTTAGCCTCCATATTATGGATCCCTTCTTCTTCTCCCTCCTTCTTAGTTAGCTTTATCCTCCATTAATGAGGAGCTCAAAATGTACTATGTAATGGTGAGGAGAGTCCTAATGAGAAAGAGAGGGCTTGGACATTAGCCTAAAAAGTCCCGTGGTTTTCTCCCTTTCGGGTTTCCACGTAAAAATAGCTTGTTCATACACATTTATACATATATTTACTATATCGTGTTGGATTAAACTCAACAATACTCATGCGGAATACACCACACATATACTATAATCACACATGATAACCACACATAAGCATTCATGTATCAAATATCCGGAGATTTCCTTATTCATCATTCTTTCTTCTTATCTTATTCCCTGACTTGATGGGCCCGTAGCTCGTGTCCTAGCCCCTCGTTGATGATCTCGGGTAGCTAGCCCTTAGCCATCATAAGCAACCCCGGGACTCCCCGCGGAAGGAGATCCCGCTACGCTCAGCTCAGGTAGTTACTTGGGGGCACGGCTACCTTGTAACATTACTTATCTTTCATTACTTTCATTATCATCATAACTTCCTTTCATTGTTGATTCCATATGAACCCAACCCTAAAATCAAACATAGAACTTGAAATTCACATATCTCATGTCATACAATTTCAAGTATTCATGCGCATACATCACATTCATAATTAGCTAATATCCCACACTTTAATTAGAACTATCATGTATAGGTGGTGGTGACTTACCTTATAGAAGCTGAACTCAAATTACTCAAATAAGTGTGACACCTTGAGAGCGTCTTCCGGTAAGCTCTTCTTTGAAATCTTTAATAAAATAGTTATCATCTTATGTCTTAAACCATATTAAACTAAGGAAATCTTTTGCTACAGCTATGCAGCCATTTGTAATAAAATTGACTAGTTTATTCATGTACTGCTTAAATGCATATAAGGTTAAGGAAATCGTTGTTTGGTGCTACTGTAATGACTATAAAGTTTCCTTCTAGCTGAGATTACTAGCAGCCCTCTCTTCAAAAACTCTCGCCAAACAAATATGCCTCAAACACATACACCATAGAAAATTTTAAAAGAAAACCCCACGGATAGTAGAAATAGAATATGGCTTCAACAATTAACATTTTATTTGAATTAAACAAATACAATTCAATAAATAATTTTTTTTAAATGAAATTATCATAAAAACAATTAGTTTAAGGCATTAAAAGGCTTACTAGGAGCCCAGCCATAGAGTCTAGAGAAGTAGTCGATAATCGCTATTCTAGTTCCGACTCGCTGACTCACTGCTGTGATTTGCTGGCGTTATACGCAGGGGCAGAGGCTTGACCGCTTGAGTTGGGACTTGGGGTCTTGGCGTTTTGGCTTTTGGGGAGTTGGGTTGCGGGCTGTCCCAAGGAAGAGTTTTTGGGATTGGGCTGGCACAAGGGAAAGGGCTAAGGTAAAGGGCTTTTGGAATTGGGCTGCAGGGGCTCAACTAATTAAATGTTAATATATACGAAGTATATACATATATATATTTTAAAAAAGAAAGAAAAACACTGCAGGGGCACGAGCACCTCCAGGCACTAGGCTGGTTCCGCCCCTGGCTGCCTGGGTTTTAACAACTTAGCACCAAAATTAAGTTTTGTCTTTGAATCCTACTTTCCAGAATTCCAAACAGACAACAATAATAGAGTATATTTATGGGGTTAATTTGTAATTTGTAAAACTCTGATTCATTATAAATATGGGCTACCTATTGGTAAGCCACTTCTATTATTTGTATCAGACTACTAGGTTTTTCTCCTCAACCCTAGCCTACTCGCGTACTTCTTCCGCCGCACAATGGCGTCTTCCGCTTCCTTACCAGCGTCGACGTCCATAGGAGCTTTTCAAGTTCCATGACTTCTTCTACATCCACGTTCCCTGTCTCCAGCACTGTCATTCAGTCTTATGCGGCTTCTTCTTCGCCAATTTCTGTGCGCCGGCCAGCTCCTCCTCCGTATCTGGGTTTCCGCCGCCATTCACGTGGACTCCATCTTCGCCGGCAGTTTTCCCTTCTTCTCTCGCCTCGGGTTCCATGCAATCGTTGTTCAATGCTCTGCCTCAGCTTGACGTTGCTCCTCCTCTTCATCTACGACTGGGCTCTTCCTCCGCGTCCTCTCAATTCAGCGGACCAACCCTTGCAGGCTCTCCAGGTATTTTGCCGACTTTCTCTCCAGCGGTTCAACGCCCACAACAATAGTCATCCTCTATCTCTGCTATTGCTCAAAATTTGGGTTATTCTACACACAATGTTACTGTCATTGTCACTACAAAATTGTTGGCCATTGAGGATTATCTTCCTTGGAGGACCCAATTCGAGTCTTTCTTAGTTTCTCAAGGATTGCTCGGTATCATCGACGGCAGCCTACTCGCCCCTCCGTTGTATGTCGTTGATTCCTTCAACACCCAATCTATTCATCCGGATTATTATCATTGGTTGCGTCTTGATCAAACAGTTCGGTCTTGGATTTTCGCTACCTTATCCCGTGACCTTCTCATTGATGTCCATGATATCAAAAATGCAGCCCAAATTTGGGAACGACTTCAGTCCCGGTTCATGTCCGCTAGCTTGAATCGCTCCTTGGAACTCAAGAGGATGCTCTCTCATATGAAGAAAAAGCCTAATGTGACTATGGAGCAATATGTCTGGGAAATCAAGACCATAGCGTCCTCTTTGGCGTCCATCAATTCTCCCGTCTCAAATAAAGAACTTATCCAAACTACTCTTTTGGGTTTGGGTCGGGCATATGAATCACTGATCACCAATATTTCTCTTTTCCCTGGTCAACTTACGTTTGATGACCTCGGCACCATCCTGGTTGAGCAAGAAAGCCGCCTGGAATATCTTTACAGTCAAGAGGCAGACTTTGGTCAACCTGCTTTTGCTGCTTCTTCCACTTCTGGAGGACCACAATCTGGCCGTGGGAATTTTTCTGGACAACAGCGTGGCAGGGGAGGTCGTGGCCCATGTGGAGGGCGTGGGCGTGGAGGTCGTGACAGGGGCTGACCGGCAATTTATGGTCCCACTGGTACGCAGCATGGCACCAATAATGCGGGTCACTCAGGTACTGTTTTATGTAATTCTGACATTTTATATTCTTATATTGGTTCCTCTTCCATGCTTGGTACTCATATGTCTTCTGCAGGCTCTCCATCAGCCATCAGCTAATGGCATTTTAGGTTCCGTCCCTTCCCCAATCATGTGCCAAATTTGTTTCTCCCCAGGTCATTCCGCTGCATCTTGCCCCTCTCGTTTTGTTCGGTCCAATGCGCCAGCACTGATTGTTCCCTCTGGTGAGACTAATGATGCTCTGTGGTATCCCGACTCGGGAGCTTCTGCTCATATGACCCCTGCAGCAGGTATTTTGTCAAATAAATCTCCTTACTCTGGCCCTGTTCAGGTCAGGTCAGCCAAATTTAAAACTCAAGAAGCCTAATCCAAATATATGTATATATATAACTAAGGAGGGCTGTTCCTGTACATATGGATGTACAGGAAGCTCCGTACGGACAAAGCCATTAGAGGCCCTTCCGGGTGGAATTTTTTGATGAAATTTTTTGAGCATGTTCTTCATCAAGTCTAGTTTATCCATACCAAATTTCAGCTCAAAATTCGATCAGGAAGGCAGTCAAATAAATTCTTGAAGTATACTGCACATTATATGTGCGTAGAATGCGCCATATATTTCAAGAATTTATTTGATTGCCTTCCCGATCGAATTTTGAGCTGGGATTTGGTATGGATAAACTAGACTTGATGAAGAACATGCTCAAAATATTTCATCAAAAAATTCCACCCGGAAGGGCCTCTAATGGCTTTGTCCATACGGAGGCCCACGTACATCCATATGTACATGATCATTCCTCTATAACTAAGAACCATACCTTACCAGCGATAATTGTTCGGCCAAAACAGCCTCCGGTTTCGAAAGTAAATTTAAAAACACGAGAGTAAAACCCTTAGCAAGTTAAGAACCATTTCTCTTTTTTTATGTGAATAGTGTTCACCTCTTTTTTAAACCAGTGGGAACACACCTAGTTGCATTGGATTTTCTTGCGCACTAACTCATTTTATGTGAACTATTCGCACCTCTTTTTTTACCATAGGAACACAACATACTCCCTCCGTCCCGTTAGAAAGTTCTCACTTTTCTTTTTTGGACATCCCATTAGAAGGTTCTCATTTCCATTTTAGGAAACAATTAACAATTTTAAGTAACAAATTAGTCATTAAATATTAAAAATAATACATTTATAACATCACACTTATCAATACTAACACATTATAATATATACCTATTAAAATTATTTCTCAAAATATACCCGAATTACTTTATTTAATTATCACCTAAAAAATTACTTTATTAAAAATTACTTTATAATAACCATGTCGTTTTGCTATGAGAACCTTCTAGCGGGACAGAGGTAGTACTTGATTTGTAATTATTTTTGAAGAAAAATTAAAATAAAATTTGATGTTGACACTTCTAGGCGGGAACACTGTTCATCAAATTTCTTTAGCTTTTATATTAGAATAGATTTCCACCGCATATTTTTATCAAATCTAGTGCATTGTTGGCTTATTTTGAATCACTAAATCCTGAATTGAATGCACAAGATTAATTCCTACTTTGCATGAAAATGTCTCTTTATATTTGACACTTTACATATACATGTGTGCGCGCACGAGACTATAAACATTACTAATACACTTTTATTAAATATTAATGGTCAGGTGCTATTTTAGGTGCACCCACAAGCACACCCAAGGGTGCAAAGCAACAAAGCAGGTTCAGAGAGTACCAAACCACATACTTTGGTAACCACACCTGCAAAGAGGATCCATATTATGCTCCCAATCGACTACAACCAGAAGAGGAAGAGAATGAACATTCTTCTTCCTACAAATATTATCACAAGGAAGATGAATCTTTAACTGTTTCTGGATCGGATGAGTCATCACTACTTCCTGAAGAAATGATCCAATTTAATTCTCAAGGAGCTAATAACAATGTTAATAACATTGAGTCTCATAGCTGCTTCGAAAATCTGGACAATATTCTCTCAAAAAAAATCTGAACAATATTTTCTGGTCGGATGAGATGTTACTCCTCAATTTCTTAGACAACCAATCATCGACAATATGTATAAATGTGTCATGTGTGTGTTTGTTTGTCTATAATCTAGACACACACATAAATTAATTCTCTTACATACAGTGGTAAAAAAAATTAATAATGTACAAAAGTAGTTAATTAAGTTCTTACTTTTGCATATTGTTCTGAATTTATTCTTATTCATGAATAATATTGAATGATCTCTAATCTCTTTGATTATAAGCACACTCCCAAACACTCACATTAAGGCTATGTTATAGGAGTATAATCGTTTAAGCTCAAAATAAACAGAGATATGATCAATCGAGGCAATTAAGTAACATATTGATGGACAGTCTACCCGGGGTATCTTATCCGAGGGGTTATTGCATGAATAACTAGAGAGAAGTCAGAGCAAAACAGGAGGAGAGAGAGTCGATTTATTAAATGAACTCAGCGTGGTTTACAAGGAGAATAAGAGCTGCTATTTATAGCAGCAATAAATGCGATGAGAGTACACGTGTCAGTAATCCAACGGCCGAAGGGTCACATCAATCGGGTGGCACCGGCAGTGGCATGTTCACCGCATTGAATGCGGTTGGCGGATGTGACGTCGCATTAAATGCGGTGGTTGGCTGTCTTCAAAGGGAATCTTCGATGATTGAGCATGTTTGGCCGAAGGCTCCTTATGTAGCCGAGGGATCCATGGAACCGAGGACCCCTGTGTAGCCGAAGGCCCTGTGTGACCGGAGGCTTGGTTCAGCCGGAGGCTCCTCTCTGATGTCGAGGGCTTGATGATGCCGAAGGCTCCTGTTTTCCGCCGTTTTTCTCCCAGTAGCCTCGTATGCCAAAAGGGGCTATGCCGTGAGTTTTGGAGCCTTCGGCCAAGGAGGCCGAAGGCACCCCAGTGTGTATTCTGGGATTCTTTGAGGCTTGGGCCACTGCATTTGGGCCTGAGATGTTCCTTGGGCTTAATGGACTTGTGTAGGAGAAGTAGGAGTCTATGGGCCGGGAGTTCCTGGGCCATATACTCCATCACATATAGTTTTGATTGTATAAACTGTTGAATTTGATTGGATCTAAAACTAATGAGCTGATTTAAAACGTTACTAGTTTTAGCGTTTAAGTTCCGCCCCTAAATTTACATCATCAATCGTGTGTATGTCAACTTCATTTTTTCCTTGTTATTAAAACATTTATTTTATGGCAATTCACATTTTGCTATTGTTATTTCTATCTATGTAACTAAACTAGTCTATTTGACTCTGTAAGGTTTCATGTTTCAATTTCACCAATTTTGGTCTTTCGTCAATCGTCAGATAGTAGCTCTTAAATCATACGGAGAACAATAATCTTTCACTTCAACCCGTTCTTCCAAAATTCACCTAAAAATGTATTTACTTGCTACATACTAATGTAGCAACGTTTTCTACTTTTCACATGTTTCATACTTTTCTATCTCATCTTATATGCTTTATACATTTTTCTACATCATTCTGCTTCTATTAAACATATACCGGTGTAGTACTAAGTTAAAATATAATTGTATAGGTGCAAGTAAACATATACCGGTGTAGTACCAAGTTTCTTCTATCTGCGTTTTGTCCATCCAACAAAAAAGATGATTTCATTCAAGAATAAACAAGTAGTTTGTACTCCCCTTATTCTTTAGTATAACTGGTCACATATTTTTAGTCTTTAATAAGGCCCCCAAGGCTATTAATTTGACGGGCTGAAATAGACATTCAACAAGCAATACTGCAATACTCCAGTTGGGGCCTGCGGGCAGCTTACTAGCGTTAAAACTGGGCTAAAACATTGTTATTGGGCCTTAGCCTTATCAGACCAATAAGCTATTGATTGTAGTCCTGTCATACAAAACTTGCCCACTATAGCGGATGTATTTGTTGATTACATGCCCACTATTTTGGAGCCCGTTTTGTAGCCTATTTGACAACACCTATTACTATTTGTTTTTTTCAAATGTGTAACTTTTGGGTTTGACGCAATGAATAATGTAATGATCAAAATAAATAAAGTTAGAGTTACCTTTCTAATTAAGTTGACTAGAATTGTTGAAGCAGAATATTTTAGTGATGTTTCCATATTTCTTTCTTTATTTTCTTAATAAAATATATGTAGACTAATAATTTTTTCTTCTTTAATAATCAACATATTGAACATATTCAATCGGTTTAGCTTTAATTTCACCAATTTCAATTTATTCAACCAATTTTAGTGTAATCAAACAAGCTCTGGTTGTTCGCTTGGGAAGGTGCTAGAGTCTCGGCAAACACACTATTCATCATCTCATAACTAGATGTCCCATTTGAATCTGGGCAAATAAACATTCCTAACCAATGTAATTTGGACTTATTCTGACCTATTAGGTTTAAATTGATCTGGTTGTTTGCTTGGGAAGGTGCTAGAGTCTCACAAGTCATAACCAAAGTCCAAATAGTTTATGCCCATTTGAGTGACCCCAATTGAATAATGAAATATACCAATATTTTTGTGTATACAACTCTAACTTCCCATATCTACTTCCACGCTTCTCACACGTTAACACACTCTGGCATGAGATTTCTTAGTTCATAAAGAAAGACGTGTTCTTTCTTTCTACTTTTTGCCGGCCTTCCCTACCCAACTATTTTAATACTAATCATCCCTCTTCTACATACATTCACATAACCACTTACAATATCGTACTCCAAAAGGTGCAACCAAGAAGGCAAGAAGACCGAGTTGAAAGAGAAAAAGGTAGATTCATAATCATTTTTTGGCTTTTATTCTGAAACTAATTTCAAGATTCCATGATGGGTAGTTTTAATTTTTGAAGCTGAGATCTGGGTATTCATTATTTTCAGAAAATAAGGTCAAAGAAGACTATGGGTCACCACCACCACCACGGCGGCGGCAGAAGACGAGATGATGATCCATTAGTGGCATGTTGTTGCTGCCCTTGTATGGCAGTCTCCTCTGTGTTTTCCATGTTTGGAAGGTGTATGTTTGTTGCATGTTATCCTCTACTTCAGTGCTTTGGATGGGATGAGCATAGGCATCACCACCACCATCACCAGCATTTCTATTAATTAATTGCACATATATTTTCTTTTTCCAATTTCTGAACTTCAATTGTGAGGGTGTCTTGAATCATAGCTCTGGTTTATTTTTGTGTTTGCTAAAAGTGATACCAAACGTGTAAGATCAATGTTTTTTTATTTTATTTGGTGGATCACCATCACAGCTATTGCTCTTCTGTCTTTCTTTTTTATTTATTTCTCTTCACAAAGTATGGACTATTTAATTCCTTTAATTATCTGGAGAATTTGAGTTATATTCTCCTAAGAGCATCACCAATGGGGTACTTTCTAGTCTAAATAAAACATGCCAAATGTCAAATAATCAATAGACTTTCTAATAGGCTTTCTAAAAACTGGGATGACCGGACATTGGACTATGGAAGAAGCCTCCAATGCAAGATCAATTGAATCTCTCTTTTAATTTATACGGAGTACATCAAAGCACTCAAAATGATATTCTATTAATCAAAAGCAGTCATATTGTATTAACAAAAGTTTATACTTCGATTCGTATATCAAATGAACCACCATCATTCGCCTTATTTTCCGGACAAAACCGAACGGGATGGGCAATATATGCGTAATAGCTACCATTTTTGCCGGAAATATATCTCATTGCAATGGCAAAGCGGCATAAAATACTCAAAAATAGTTTTCAATTATCATTATATTTTTATTTTATCCAGTCAACAAGTTTACACTACTTTCTACAACCAGACATTCCCCCTCACAGTGTTCACACGTTTTTGTGCCAACTCATCAAAAACAATTAGAAGACTACGGGCATGTTTGACACAACTAGCTGAAAAGATACTTTTGTGAGCTTTTTAATAGCTGTTAGCTTTTTGTGACTGAAAAGATCTTAAAAAGAAAAGGTGGTAGCTGTTTGATAAAAAGCTGACTGTTTGGTTTAGTTCGGTTTGATATACAAGCTGTTAGGATTAATTAATACTAAAAGTCACTAGCTTTTCTTAGATGCTACTCTCGGTAGCATCTCAAAAAAGATCTTTTAATTTTTGAAAAACTCTTAAATATTGTCATGCCAAACACACAACTAGAAGCTTTTAGGAACTTTTTGAACAGTACAAAAGCTAGAAGTCAGGGACTTATGCCCGCCAAACATAGCCTACATGCATTGGAGGAAGAAATAAATCTTTGGATGTCTATTTTAGTGAGGTGGCATGTATTTCCTAGACTAAACTATGCTGCAATGCGGATGCTCTAAAGGTTAAATCTCCAACCTTAAGTGCTCTCACACCCGACCCGACGGAGTATATGAAACATTATATACAAACAGAGAATTTCGGTTAAATTGAATATATTTGTGACTTGTGAGTGTGGTCAGTTAACCATATTTTGATTAATCATCATGATCATATTTCGATTAATCAATTTTCAACTCAATGAGGTTTCAGTGATTAAAATTTTAATATTATTACTCATATCATATTATCGATTTACAACATATCAGTTAACAAACGTACACAACATTTAGAATTGCTTGGGTCTCTCGCTTCTCTCTAGGGCTTTGGCCGCTTGGAGTTTTTTTCCGTCTTCGATTTTAATCGAAGGACGGCCGCTTTTTCCGTCTTCGATTTTAATCGAAGGACGGCCGCTATTTCTGTCTTCGATTTTAATCGAAGGACGATTGTTGTTGTTTGTGCTTCATACTTGAAGGGCGGATTTGCTGTCATGGCTCGAGGAGATCGGCGTTGTGGTCAAGGTTCGAGGATGATGTATTGATGTCGTCGTTGGAGAAGATCGCCGCCGCCTATCCGTTTACTCTGGTTGCATGAAGTAGGGATGGGTTTGGTTATGCAGGGACGGAGGATTGATGCATGGCCTTTGGCAGACAAAGGTCACAGAGTATCAATTTACATGGTACCGATGGTAAAACCTCCTCCTGAACCACCACCATGGGATGTACGAGGTGCTAGAGTTCGTGAACGCTTTTCTTGTAGTTTTTATCTGTTTGTTATTTGTTTTCTTGTGTCCACTTTTGTTGTTGGTTTTGACAGTTTGTTTGAGTTTTTGCCTCTCTTTATGTCATTGGGTATGGTTGCATCTATGGGAATAGGTTTGGCTGTGTCAAGCCCACTACATGGTTAGCGATTCGTGTTGCTCTCTCAGGGGTGACCGTC